TTTTTTGAAAAATATTGTTTTGAATAGCGAATTTTTAGAAAATGTGTAGTTAAAAAGTAAAAAATGTAAAATAAAATTGAGTTTACGTATAAAATATTTTATTATGTGAAGATGTGATTGAAAATGAATATATAGAAAAAAGAATTTTAAAAGAATAGGAGACAAACAAGAACTCAATCTTTTTTAGATTCAAATTTTTGCATTTGTTAAATTCGACCTTAAGACTCGCCAACATTTCTTGCCCATACCCCACATGCATTAGACTTGGTAATGTGGAACTCTTTAAACAATGTCATGCCAAACATTTATTTAACTTCTCAAACCAAATCCAACCAAATGCCAAAATCCAAAAGCAAAAGTGACAAAATAGTTGTAGGTGAGAAGGCCAATTTATTATATACATATATACATATTTTTTTCGAAAGTTTATTGATATGGACTACTAGTGAAATGAACCGAGTGAAAACATGGATGGTGTCTATTTAAGAAGATATGCTTAATAGACATGTCACAACTCGAGTGCATAATGTCGCTACGATAGTTAAAATTTTTATCGTGCTAAATGATCATGATATTATTAAACCGTAAAGACAAGAATCGTGCCAGCTCACCTGGATTGATATATTAACAACTTTGTTTGCCATTAAATTTCATAATTTGGGCCAACGAGTTGCGCGAAGCTATGAATTTTTTTTTAACATGCTTAATAAATCATATTAAGCATGCACGGACCTGAAAACATGAATCATATCGACTCAATGAAACCCACTTAACACCCCTAGTTAACATACCAAATTTCATGATGGATTAAGAGAAAATCTTTTGTTTTACAACAAAGAAAAATATATAACTCACTCAATCTCCTTCGAGATAGAATTGATGACACAATGAACCTAGTTAGTCAGTGCTAAACATTTTACACTTTTCCCCTTGAAGACTCTAAAATAAAATTATTTGTTTGTGCATTTGAAAGGGAATGCTTGTGGTCTCCTTCATAAGTAACAATGAGCATGGTTGGTTCATCCAAAGCCCTCTCCACATGTTTACGTGCCGGGCACCCATTTACACTGCTACACTTGTAGTAACTCCTGTTGCGCGTACCATAATATAAAGCACTAATATTAGATTATTTTTTCAATATAAGGATCTATTTGGGTCGGATTAAAATCAGATTTTAATCCAAGTCAAATTCAAATTAATATTAACTACATATTTCATGGGTTCCACATCTTTTCAACCACACATTTCAAAAACATCTATTATAATTCACTAAAAGTCTAATTTTAATCCCCACCAGAGACCCTTTAAGTAATAAAATTTTAACTTTTTACTATTACATAATTAATGTCCTATGCAATGAGTTCAAATATTACATCTCTCATGGAAAATTGACACTCTAGTATTCCATTTTATATGTCAACGAATTTATGAGTACTCAAAATTTTTTAACCCCTGTTTGGTCCACATTATTTTTTTCATTCTCATTCTTCTACTAATTTTCAACCACACATTTTTCAATAAAATAATATTTTCCATCACATCAATAAAAAAAATGCATTATTGCCCCCAAAAATGTGTACCAAACAGGAGCTTAACTTTGGAACACAACCAAAACTAAAGGTTAGTTCAACTATGAAGAAAAATTGAGCAACGCCTTTTCGTTTTATTTCTTTAAATTCCTCATCATGCATTCTTCAAAACATTCGTATCGTGCTTGAAAGTTAAATCAAAATAATTTTATATGGATTAAATCTTATCTTTATAATATATATCTAACTTTTAAGCACGACCAAATATCTATGTACCGACCATTAACAAGTAGATTTTGATTAATACCTAGGATATGGAGATCCTTTGATGGGTTTCTGTCCGTACTTTCTCCATGAATAATTATCAGGTGGGATATCTGAAATCCTCGTCCCTATCGCCGGAACCCTAATCACCATCTTCACCCTTTGCTTCCTGTTAATTAATTTTCAAAATCATATGCATGATACACAGTAAAAAGTAAAAACCAAAAGGATAATTAATTTCTTTACCTTCTCTTGGAACAGTGGCACTGGCCGGAAGTTTCATTGCACTTGACGGAAAGTACGTTTTCCGACAAAGTGCATTTCCTTTTCAAAGAAGACGAAGGAGGCTTTGCGGCGGAAGAAACCTGAGTAAACGAGTTTGCACCAGAAATCGCCGGCGAGTATGAGAAATTAACAGTCTTCTCCGAATTTTGGTTCACTGCACCAATACTTGGAGGGACCTGATTGATTGGTTTTGGGCAGTAAATTTTGTTATCAGGTTCTTCATTAGAAAAGTGTTCTAATTCTGTAACTCGATTAGATAGCAATGAAAAAGAAGTGGGCGGCGGTGACGGCGGTGGTGGAGCCACCGGAGCTCTCCTGAATCGAGCATGGCCAATTCTGGATCGACCCACAAGAGAAATCACTTTCTTGAATTTGTTCATGGCCAAATCAGCCACTGTTTTACACTCCATTTCCATGGTAGCAGCAGTTTCTTCGGATTCTGAAACAAAACTTTTGATTTTGCTGTAATTCTTCATGAGCTCCACTACCATCTAGAGTCCTGCATGGCATTGCCCGATCGTGTTAGTCCATATTCAGGAATTCTCTAACAGGAAGAAGTAAAGTAAACGCATGCTAAAGACCAAAAAAAAATTTAGGTGGAGATAAAGTATACAGTAGGTGACTGACTTTTCACTGTAAATCCAACATTTTTCTTCGTCAAATTTAGGTGGGAATAAGATCAAAATGACTAAAGTCCGAATTTCTAGAGGTTTGTGCTAGAATATCAAGTGCTTCGGTAATAGTGTAATGGAATTTTGGTCTAACCAGTTTGCGGGATAGGGACGGAGGGTCCAGTTGAAAGGTGAATTGGTCTTTGGAACTCTTCGTAAAGATTAAAATTCAGATTTTAATCTAAATTAAAGTCAACAATTGATTTTATTTACACATTTTATGAAATTCGCAACCTTTCAACTACACATTTCATTAATTTTTATTATAATATACTAAACATCTTATTTTAATCGCCATCAAAAAAGGACATAAGTAGTTACAGAATATTTATCTGTACAGTGTAATAAATAATATATATACATTTTTTTAATATAGTTCAATAGACGAGATATGGTCAAACTACCATCCCAACCACGTTTGATCAATTCATTAGGAGTTGTGTTGGTTTGGAGGATTAGTTGTTGCTGACTGTGTGGGATAGTTGGCTTGAATTTCCTTGGCGGGCATAGGACCCCATGAATTCTATTTTTCTTCTAATTATTTATTTTAACAAGTATGATATGATCGTAATAATAGGTTTGGGGATCGTACTTGATCTATTTATTTCTTAATTCTTTTCGTTTATATAATTTGGGACTTGCTTGGAAGAACTAAAAAGCTGATTATAATAATAATAAAAAAAAAAAGGGGTAAATAGCACAGAACATCCATACTTTTCAATATCATTGTGCAATACGTCTCTACATTTCATTTTTTGTCAGTTTCACCCATACTTCCACCTTTCATTGCACAAAAGGTCATTTTCAACCATTTTTTGATTTTACCCTCCTACTCAAATAAAAAAAAAAAAAGATGAATAACTTAAGTTTTTAAAAAATTACAAAGAAATTATAAATTCTCTACTACCACCACTTTCACAACCTACAAAGCTACCACCTATAGATTCACGTAGTAGCACCTTTTGGTCACCACGCCCACCGGGCTTCACCACCACCAACCTCGCTTCACTACTCCACCGTCTTCTCCCACACGAATTTGAAGAATGAAGCTCTTAGGACTCACCAATTTTGATCAGACAGCTCTCTTCATGCATCGCGCCCATGGAGAGTTTCGGACCAAAAATTGAAACAATGGGGGGGAGGGGGGATAATTGGTTCAATTAGATTCATACCCAATGTTGTTTGGGTTTGTTGATGGTTCGATTGATGCAAATTTGGGGATTTAGTATTGTGGGATGCATGAATTGAAGGAGAAGAGTTTGGTAAAATTGACGTCTTCACTGTCGAATGTCTAGATTACAATTGAATGATTTGAGGCGTGTTTGATTGATGTGAGTCCATGTATAGGTTGTCGAGGTGAGGGGTAACCGTTGGTGGTGGTGGGCGACCGTGGGTGGCACCGAAAGTGGGGTCGTCGTGAAGGGTTGTATACGGCACTTTGGTATTTTAGGCTGCAAATGTGGTTGTTTTCGACACATTTTGTGACCAATACTGTGGGAGAGGATGTTGGGGAGAGTAAAGCGAGGCTAGTGGTGGTGAAGTCCGACGGGCGTGGTAACCAAAAGGTGGTGCTATGTGGATCTATAGGTGGTGGCTTGGTAGGGTTGTGAAAGCGGTGGTGTTGGAAAATTTATGACTTATCTGTAATATTTTGAAAAATTTAGGACTATAATTGCAATTATTTGTTTATTTTTTCTTTTCTTTTCTTTTCTTTTCTTTTTGTTACATTTGAATAGAATGGTAAAATCGTCATTTTATTAGAAAAGTGGTTGAAAAGAATCTTTTGCGCAATGAAAAGTGGAAGTTAGGGGTGAAAATGCTAAAAAATTAAAGGTACCGACGTTTTGCACAATGACATTGAAAGATATAGACTTTTTGTGCTATTTACCCTAAAAAAGGAGTGATTAATCTCACAAAATGAATAGTTAAAAAGTGAATAGTAAATATGTATGATTAAAATTTATTGTCGACTTTAATCTCAATTTTTTAGCAAATTTTAAAGCTCTCCGAACAAACATAGTTTATGTTCTTCATGTAGATTTGAAAAATCTGGAACCGTTTTAAAATCTGGAGCCCGTTTGGTAAAGATTAAAATCCCATTAAAATTGAAAATATAGTCGTTATTGGGTCCCACTCATCTAATAAAAGTAAAAAATAACGGATACTTTTTCAATTTTAATCTGATTTTAATCTCTACCAAACAAGACCTGATCTTGTTAAATGTAAATAATCGAAAATATAAAACTTGTTAAAGTAACTTATAAGTGGAATGGTTATTCTTGAAAAAGAATAAAGTTTTATTCTTACTTTTTTTTTCTATCATTTCAACCATTGACCGTTTACTTTTTGTTTCTCGATTTTAAAACATCAATTATGAAGAATGTTGAGGACATCTCTTTTTTTTCTAAAAGATGTTTTATGAATTTTCGCTACTACTTAACTTTCAATTTGTCTCTATCCATCAAATCAAATGTGAGTAACTTTATAAATATTTATATTGTGATTATAAGATTAAATTAAATGACA